GGAGAGAGAGAGAGAGAGAGAGAGAGAGAGGGAGGTAGAAGAAGGAGGAGGCGGAGGAGGAGGAGGGGGAGGAGGAGGAGGGGAAGGGAGCAGACACATGCCCTTATCTGCAGGAAGAGCAACTGCAGTGGGGAAATGGAGAAACTTGCTCAGATTATGCAACCAACAACAGACACATCTCACCCCCTTTCTCCTCAGCTTTTCCTGACACTAAACCCATTCCTTTCCGCTATTCCCTGCTGTCCTTCATAAATTATACATGCACGGATGCGAGCCCTAGCTGTGATACTGATTTAACTTTGGATGTGCTGTTCATATTTAAAGATGGTTCAACTTTTGCCAAAGTACATGCTCAAGCAAAACAGGACGCAAGTTCCCCATCGAAGGCTGCCCAGTCGGTGAATTAAAGAGAAACTGTGCTCTGTGAAGCAGCGAGGCAGAAGGGGTTCGTTTGTTTCAACATCAGCTCGCCACGGCTTACTTCAGGACCTCCTGAGAAGGCTACAACCGCTTGTTTTGTTTATTAATGAAGGGAATGATACACTTCAATAGGAGAACACTTAGCGACTAGGCATAGCGGGGCACTCCATTTGGACCTTTATAGACATAATCACAATTCATCATATTTTACTAAAGTGTTCTCACCATTTCTCTTTGAGAGCAGGCAGAGAGGTGAAATGACTGCTTGTCCACACTTTCAAACAGTAGATGCCAACTCTGGCCTAAACACAAACCATCTATCTCGCATATACACACGGTTGCCATAGCAACACAAAGCATTCGATGCCGATCAAAGTTTGGGCAGACTATTTTCCCTTCCACATTACTCTCCAAAGATGAGCAGAAGTCTGGAAGGCCACGCACCTGAACAACACTATTCTGTCACTAACTACTTCAGACATTCCAGGGTCACTAAATGTCTCTAGGTTAAGTCTCACTTTCCTTCCCTGAACATGTGAGTTTACCTAGAAAATTTATATGAACTCTTTCCCATTTATGTGGCATTAACAAACTTTTAGAAAAAAAAAACCCTCATGATTAATACAATGACAGGTCAGTGTTTTTGGTGATTCTGTAAGCTATTATTATGGGACTTTTCCTTATTCTCTACATAAAAATAATAAATTTTTAACTTAAAATGCAGACCCTCCATAGATATTCCTTTCTGCAGTGACATGACATAATCGTGCTATGACCCTGTGAGCAGCTCACATTCACAAGTTCCTCAAAAGCTTTGACATTTTTACACAATAATTATGTATTATCACAACACATAAGAAAATAGCCCAATAAGTCTGACACATCTACATTCACAAAATTCAGTTAACATTTCATCTTCCACCTCCCACATCTTCCTTCCCTGACACCTGCCCCCGCGTGTCACCAATTGCAAAATGCAACTGGAGCCCTAAGAGTGTGTTTCTCTCTGAAACATCTGAGACACACTGGCAGTGAACAAAATTCAGATGATTGTATTTGCACAAACATTGGAGACACCTACTAAAAATTTCAGGAGAAACAAAGAAAACAAAACAAAACAAAAACCAAGTGTCCTGTCAATCAACCACTGCCACTTTCCCAAGACTTGCCGTCACTTACACGTGTCTCAGTGGATGTAGAGACACCGTGACACATTTGTGGGCCTGAAGTTATTTACCGTGACTTACGGCAGACCAGACAGCACGGAAACAAATGGCTCTCTCTTGTGGCTGCAGGTGTGAAAATCTGCCAGAGGAGACGGCGATGCCGTGGGAAGAATACTAACCCTACACATTTGGAAGCTCGTTCTTGTGATGTTAGAATAAAACATTTTAAAGCTATGCAACCACTTGGTCCAATCAGTTTCATTGTACCTGAAGAAGTTCATCTTCAAAGGCATGTTTCCGTCTACTTAAAACCAGCAACCACGGGCCCAGCACTGCTTGTGAGATGGATACTGGACTTTATTTATTTATTGCGATTATAGCGTACAAGGCAAGCGTACTGTGGGTTCTACCCTAAATACTTGACTACTTGCAGTAGCATCACTGGCTCCTTGCATCCAGTGAAGCCCAAGGAAGAGAGTCCACACTTCATTCTGTTCCTGGGCCATACCACACACCAAATCTCTGCACCATAGTCAGATCCTCACAACCAGGAGGTTTCTGTGATTTTAAATTTGTTACGGCACACTGTGACACCAGCATCTACCTCTGACCTCCACCAGCACGTACACACACACACACACACACACACACACACAGAAAGAGAGAGAGAGAGGGAGAGAGAGAGAGAGTTCCACTTAACAAGAACTTTGCACAAGTTGTCACCATTTTCCCCTATCATTATGAAGAAATGAATAGGGAAAAGAAATGAAAAGAAAGCAAGAATAAATGACAAGGGCAGCAAAGCCCAAAGGGAGAGCAATTCAAGAGAAGCTTTCAAAACACTGTATCAAGAAGTAAGCAGGTCATGGAAACACAAGCTTAGCACATTAGCACATTCCAGGTAGATTTCAAGAGGAATACCCAATCCTTTCTCTGAGAAAACAAACACCTCTCCTGACTATACTATCAGAAGCGATGCTGCTCCCAACATGCGCAGACTCTCAGCACTCATCTTGTTGTAGGGGAGGGGAGATGGCAAATCAAAGATGGAAACAGCTTGAACTGGATTCTTTCTCACCCTTGCTATCATCTTTCATCTCCTTACCTGTAACCGATCATCTATTCCCATCTTAAAGAGTTGGAGAAGAGAGTAGGAACAGCAATAAGAGTGTGAAAGACACCAAATGGGGGCTAGAGGAACAATCATCATAACCTAGCCTGAAATAGCAAAAAAAAAAAAAGCATAATAGATCCATGATGTGACTTCCTTCCAATTTTCCCACCCAC